CTGAAAAGGAGACCACCTTTTCGCCACATAAGAGCTGCCGGAGCGGCCCTGGTCATGATATTTACATTCAGAGTTCACCACCGGGTCTTAAGTTCAACAGGTCAGCATCTGCTAGTTAACGTTCTACATGTGGGAATCATGTGGGCGTGTCAGTGGCTGGTGTAGCTGCCCGTAGCTGCAGTTTCGAAGAAAGTTGCCAGGGGACATACATTGTACCACAGTATCACCTCTTTCTCTGGTCAAGAGCTTTCCAAAGAAAGACACTTAGACTAACACATCACATTGAATTCGAATGCAGTTCCAAAGGAAACAGCTAGGAAGCCTAAGATCTTTTTTCTTTTGGTCATGTCCTATTAAACCAAATTATACTATAAATTTCCTTACTTCATCATTTAATATATAGCAACTTTAGGGTGGTCAATGTAGGATTTTGGCAGCATTGTGGAGAATGTTCGGCATTGTGAATTAGAAGTCTGTTTATTATACTTGGCACATTTTAGGACATTTGCGTCACTGATTTTATATATTTCTTGCACAAGAATAACCTACATCATGATCCCCTCATTTGGTGGCACCGATAAATACGTACCAGCTGGGCGTTACAAACTGACAGGTATTTATATATGTCGTGGGACAAATGCACATGGTATCCTATTTGTTGCAACGTCATGATACGACCTTCACCTAATCTCCAAGCAGATCCCTTTCGGTGGCAAGACACTATCCATTAGCCAGAGAAGGTCGGCGGCCACGACCGGGTAGCCAAAAAAAAACGGCCATAAATAAAAAGCTAACGCGATCATTTCCCCACAACCTCTGCTTGGAGATCTAGCCTTCACCCACTTCAGACAGAGGACTACTCCGGCCCAGTTTCGGTGTTCCCCTCGACGTGATTGACACATGGTGGGCGTGTCCAAACACCACCATTGGAGGCCCCATATAGCACACAAGCGACCCGCGAGTTCAAAAGTTGCAAAGCACCCCAGGTTCCCCCCAAAGCCGTGTGCGTCCAGCTGATAGCCAGTTCCTCCACAGGTACAGTAAGGTTTACACAGAAATTTATCGTCATATTCGTTACTGTCTGTTTTGTATTCGCACCCAGCATTTGCCCTTTGGCTTCCTATTTTGAGCCCGTGCGTCTGAGCACGTAGGCTGGTTCTCTAAACCCTCTGGCGGTTATTATACTCGTTTCCTTCTGTCATGCTGCAACACTAAGAAGAGGCAATCAGTTGTTGTGTATTACTCTGTGTCCATCTGTAATCTATTCAGATTGGTATAACGTTTACAGGCTGAAAAATTTTTAGTGAAAATGCAAAGAAGTGTAACGTTACTGTATATAAAAAACACATCACGCCCTCCACTAGTAACTGTTCGTTGAGTAACGCAAGACTGAACACAGTCAATATCTATATAGATTGCTGAGTCATTGACAATAGTACCGGGTACTGCACAATTCACATGCTGTGCCACGCCCACCCTACCTCTGCAGCTGTCCCTACTTTACTTTTACAATAACTACGTAAACCATAAGAAAACAGGACACTATATCTATCTTGTAATATATATATGGTTTCATGATATAATTGATTAGATACATGTAATTTACCACAGTTAATCCTGTTGAACTGTACTCTTTTCAATCAAGCTCCATGCTGAGCACAGGTAAGACATGGGAGTCAATACGCCATTTTCAAGAATTATCCATCGCATCACATTGCATGATTTGGCTTGCCAGTCCTTCATTACCCAGAGTTCTCCCTTTTTCCCCAACAACTGTGAAGGGCTTCGGTGTACGACCTTGTCCTCTACCCCCTTATCTATATCTGTGTGTATTCGTACAGGTGCAATCCACATAACTGCTGACATCAGGAAGTTGCCAAGGAGACATTGATACTGGGGTTGATTATTCTGCTGATGGGCACTTACTCTGCCCTACTCTAGCTCCAACCTAACTCACAGTCCTCTTTGCTCCTCTATTGGCCATGCAATTTTGAACAGGGTCTCTTGACTTTTGAGGTAACATTACTGTATTCTGACACTAAGAGCCAGAGAAGACAAGTAAAGAAATGGCCCAAATAGTTTTATAAAGCCATTAGCCTTTATTTTATGGTTGTTTGTTGTAACTTCTGTTACATAACATTACTAGTAGTACTGTTGTAAAATATTAGTTACATATTAAACACTCAAGACTGTAACAGTAACAGTAATATATCACTGAGTTGTGTGCCTTATCAATTGTCACAGGAAAACATGGCTGCCAAGGAGAGCGAGGCAGATTTTTACTGGGGTTCGGGAAGTTTCCCGTGTTGGCGAGCGATGTTGTGTCTGGCTGAGAAGAAGGTGAAGTACCAGAGCCACCTGCTGTCCATGGACAAGAAGGAACACAAGACGGACGAAATACTGAAACTGAACCCTCGTGGCCAGGTTAGTGAGGGCCTGCATGGGGTGGGGGTGGGGGGGAGGGTCCCGACAACGCTCTACACTAAATTTTGAGAGCCAGCTACGTAGTATGCTGAATTCAAGAAGCCCCCTATTATGTTTTATGATAAATTCCGGGTAGCTACAACGCATTATGTAGAATTAAAACGGCAAATTATTCTCAACACAAAATGCGCCAATTATGCCTTTATTACCTTCTACAACAACAACTCTACGAATCTACGTTGAATTAGAGCAGTCCGTCTACGCTCTACGTAGAATTAAAATGACCGATTATCCTCTATGGAAAGGGTATGCGGGCCCCCGTTAGTCTGTCTGCCTTTATTACCTTCTCCAACAACTACCATGTCTTATTTTCTTGGTACATTTTATTATAATACCATTAATAGAATCATTCTGTTCTTTACAGCTGCCTATCTTCAAACACGGTCAGGTTATCATCAATGAATCTGTGGGGATCTGTCAGTATGTTGAGGTAAGATATCTAAACAAGCTAGAAGAAATCCAAGATTTCATACCTCCGAGTTTATGTAGGCATAGTAGTTAGGCAGTTTTTACGATATGATGTCTCTATATCTAGACAGTGCGTACATAGCATAACCATTGCTACCAAAGACATGTGTTCCTTTTTGATTCACAACGCTTTTATGACTGATAATTTTATTGCAAATTCCTGCCTGAAGGCTAATTGCAAATAACAAAGAACCTTGAAACAGAGTAACATTACAAAATAACCATCTACTATGTCAAAATCTACATAATAACACAAGGAAATTGTCTGAAATAATAGCTATGTATAGAACTATGTCTGAAGGGTATGACCTCTAGTTAATCATTCACAAGGGAAATAACCTGAACACTTGACCTTCCCAGAGTGCCTTCAAAGGTCAAGGCACCCAGCTGATGCCTGAGGAGCCTTCCCAGCAGGCCGCAGTCTTGCAGCGTAGCCTGGAGGCGGAGAACGTGCGACAGAAGATGGTGCTGGACACGCTGATGTACATGTGGACAACCAAGCCTGAGGACATCAGCCAGGTAACAACCAAGCCACTCAACTCACCTGACATGGACACCTGAGTGTATTTACTATTAGGCTGGTAATGTTCCTGTGAGAAGTTCATGTGAGGCCTACATACAGGACCTGCTTTCAGAACATTTAATACAGTGTACTATGCATTTCTATTAAGACATACCGTCTTTTTAGTTTGATATCTGATCTATCTGTACATGTATGCCCATAAACACACTTGTGAACAGCTGTAGTGAACATCTCTCTAAGTAGATATTGCATACTCAGTATTTGGAAAAAGCTAAGACTGAGCTTGCAGTGATACTTGTATGTGCATCCCACATACTAGTAAAAATATGTTATTGATATTCATAACATATATGTGCCTTGAGTGTGTCGTCACCACATCTGGTTATTACATGTTGGAATAAAAAAAATAAAAAAAATATATATATATATGTGCCTAGATTAGAACATTTGGTTATCTGTTCTTTTTTTCTCCAAGGACCTGTTGAAGCAGAAGAAGCAAAATCTTGCTCAGGAGGTCCAGTACTGGGAGGGACATCTTGCAAAGGTATGCTTTGGGAGGAATGTCTTCATACTATTTGTATTTCATTTGTAGAATATCATATGGGAAAGATATCCCAGACTAGATGAATATGGTATTGGTTAAAATCACAGGGAAATAGGCAAGATGTACATGGCATTAAGAATGTTTAAATTGTCATTGATTTTTGAGATTTCATATTTCTAAAGATCACAACTGATTTTGCAGCTAGGACCTGGGTCACACATTGCTGGGAAGGACTTCACAGTTGCTGATGCCACGTTCTGGCCTTCACTAGCCTTCCTGGTGAGACTGGGCATGCCCATCCAGACATGCTGCCCAAACCTGGCCAAGTACTATGAAATGGTGGGTACCATGTGATCCTAACTTTGGAGCCACCTGTTAACAAGGATCTAACCCTTCAATGACTGGTTTCCATTTTTTGTCTCTTTTGGATATCTGATATTTACAATTATAAGAAAATTTCAGATGGGAGCCTCAGGTGACCCTGACATCTTTCCTATCTACTTGTGAGCATATTGATTTTTAAGTTTCATAATCTATATCCATAATAGCTGTAAGGTTTCAATGAAGAAAGAATATAATGAAGCTATCTGCATGTACATGAACTAGGGATGGATATTTCCAGTTTTACATAGTGGCAGTGTCTGTGTCTCCGCTAGTCAACTGATTGATATGTATACGTAACATTACTCTATCTTCAATTTTTAGCGTTAAAACATCAGTTGCCATGCAAGGCCAGTTCCTGCTATTGTGAAGTTTCAACCCAACATTAGTTTTTATAGCTGTTTGAATATTATTTGCTGAAAGATTTTCCCGCTCTTTAAAGGTGAAGCAGCGTCCAACTGTTCAAGAAACCTGGCCGCCCCACTGGAAGACGTCACCTGGTCCGGATTACTTCAAGGACTTGTTTTAAGGAGGATGTTTAGATGCTTGAAGGGGGCTTTGTACTTTGAGGGCTTTGATACATTCGTGTAATTTGAGTGATTAAATCTCTTCAACAGTCACAACACCATTGCAATATATGTAAAGTACATGCAATATAAGAATAAAATTATTCTTTGTCATGAGCAATACTAACCCTGGATGTATAAAGACTTCTCAACTTCCACGTAATGTCTGAAGACAACATATTTTGTAAGATAGCTTACAAGTATTTTCTGGGCTGCTGAGTGATTGCTGCATTTTCATTAAAAATGTTAGAATTTACCTTGGATTTTGTTACAATTTTTAAAAATGTTTCCTGTACCACCACTGTCTACAAAAATATGACTATAATTATCTGTTTCCCCTCTTATGTTACACGTTGGGCTATCCCATATTTTGTTACTGTTTGAAACATATAACATAAAACAAGATACAACATCAACTATACCTCATTTTACTTTCCACTCTTCTATTCTAGGTGTAGGAATATAATCATGTCATTTTTGGACATGTTTGACAAAAGACAAGTATTTACATTTCATCTATTCTGTCATTATAATTTCTTACTCAATGCAACATCTGTTCTTTATAGTATAGTGATAATATGAAAACAACCATTTTCAAATTTTGCTGACTCTCGTAGAAAGTAAAAAAACTAATGGCAACGATTTGAAATGTGGCGATTTTCGATGTGATTTGGCAACGATTTCAATTTTTGTGACGACCAAAATACGTACGTGACCGACCGTATCTATTGCGGACTGATTCATTCATTACAAAGCTAAGTTTACCTTGGCAACCGTGGTTTTGAAAATAATACAGGTATATCACTTGAAGATCGAAAAACCAACCGTACTTTAGTGAGGATACGGGCGATCGTTGTTGACGCTGTATAGCCTAGAACATTTCTACACGTCACAAAGACTATACTAAACGTGCTGTTCTAGAACTGCGCTACAAACAAACATCGTGTGTTCCAGCTAATCTGTAGTCATAGCGAACTCCCAAACATACCGTACTACTACATTGTAGTATCAAACACTTTATTTTCAGTTTGGTATAACCAAGTAGAGTCAAAGAATCATGTCGTACCCAGGGGAAGGAACGCACAAGATGTCCATGTACGGTCTGAAGGACTGGTCTCCCGGCGAGCAGAAACTACAGTGGCAGGAGTATGTCAGGGTAGGCAACAAAACACGCACACTCTTCATGGAACGTAAACTTCTGTTCTAATGTCTCAAGGCTGGGGCCAAACAACGAACACAACTATTTCAAGTTTTCATGATCTTCGATGAACGTGGGAATCTTTTTTTTCTTTGCTTTACCAAGACATAACCTATGAAACTAGCCTCCACCAGGCCTTTCTACGGGAATACGGATCGTTGAATTCGGCAAAAAAGAGAGTAAAATTGGCCAAGGGGAGGTAGTTTCTGTGCGGCCAGTCAAACCTACAAGACGGCCAAACTCCCCTGGCAAATATTCTAATATTCTCCCATAAATAGCCAGCGTAGTTAGTCTGGTAGAGACTACTATGAAACAGTGCCTGTGTAACAGTAGGTAGTTGTTAGTACTCACTTTTATCGTGCGTGACCTGTTGAATACGCCGTCTCTTTAATTAGCGCGAGATTCGGCTGGAGAAGAACCACCTCGCGACACGAGGGAAGCTGGGAAAACCCAACATCGTAGTGACTGAGGACATGCTGAAGTCTAACATGACGGTCTACAATAACAACAAACAGGTAGGTGGCGTGCTGGAAAGTAGTATTAAAACTGTACTCGTATTCCATGTGCGTGAACGAGTCGGGTCAAGGCAAGAGAATACCGGGTTAATAGCTGACATTTTCCCTTGTTGGCAGCACGGACGTAGCCTGACTGAACCTCGCTTTTCGCCGACTCCCTAGTTAGTCTTGGTTGGCAGGGAGCCCCCCAGATCTTGGGTTTCACAGGCTAGCACGGACGTACCTAGCCTGGGTGTCATCCTCCGTAGTTTCCGCCGGCTCCCTAAATGTAATGTCGCTGGCTAGCACGGACATTAGGGAACCGGCGGAAACTACGGAGGATGGCACCCAGGCTACGACGTACCTAGAGAAGGAACAAAATTTTGTCCCCGAATTGTTACGTCAACCCAAGATCTCCTGCCTTGTTTCTGCCTTCAGCATCAGGAGAAAGGCGCGTACGAACGTCTGTTTAACCAGGAGTCTGACTACAACAGCAAGCTGCACCGGGACGACAGACAGCACACCGTGGGGCTCAACGTACACGCCGAGGTAACCGCACTCTTCTTATCATTATGTCCACGAAATATAGCGCGCAGAAGGAAATTTTTTTCTTGGTGTATTGCGTTAATATTCTAGTACAGTGTGTAAACTAGTAGTGATGGGCTCTGTTGTCGTCTGACCAAGCACTGATAAGGGTTGTAGCCTGTAGCGAAGCTTCAGCGTTTCGTAGTTAACCAAACTTGTCCGTGGTTCAAATGATGGCACATTCAGCACCAAGGACAGTGATCGGGAGTACTTGGTCATAACTTAAGAGTTCACTTGTATGGATCCTCTAGGGTTTCTGAAGTTGTTTAAAAGAGCTAGATGCCGACATTTATGGTGGTTTGATTTTCAGGAGATATCCAAGGCAGTGCCGCTGCGGCAGGTATGTAATCGTATGCGATTTGCAGAGAATCGCACAGCGAGTTTCGTCGTCCTAGGGGACGAAAGTCGCAGGCTGCGAGTTTCTTCACCTGAGAGCGGGGGCGCGCAGACTACCCTATTCGTGCGAATATCGTCGATCTTACGCTGGGCCGCGCACACATACTTAGGTAACCCTTATTAGTGCTACCGGGGCCGCGCACGGCTTTTTACCTACCAACGGAGCCGGACAGACATTTATTTACCGATGTTGTGTTCACCTGCACTCCTGATATTCTCCTTGTTCAATGTCCCCGATCTGGGGAGGACGTGCAGGCCACTGGTCCAGCTCAGGGGACCGCAAAATTCAAAGGAACCCTTTGCGTACGTACAGCATGTCCAGCATTTTCGTTGGATCGCAAGGGAATAGAAATAAGCAAAAGCTTTATGGACATATCCTTCTGATAATCTGTGTCTAGTATTTTTCAGGTAGAATCCAAGGTCAATACAGCAGTTTGCGCCACCAAATTATTCACTTCCGGTAAGTTTGTAGCTCAGTAGGCAGGATAACATCCAAAGGTAAGTGATCGCAGCAGAGCGGCACATACCGGGTGAGATCATCGGGAACACAGCGCCGTGGAAAAGGTTGGTATTGCATCTAGCTACAAAAAATAAATATTTCCTACATTATTTGTTTAAGTAGTAGTCTACCAAAAACCAGAGAACGATTTGTTTGTAGGCTGTCTTATTCGTAGAATAAGCGTATAGCCAATCGGAATTGTAACATGTCGGCGTATGAACCGACAAAGAAAACATTGATTGCGCGGTGAAGTCTTCGTTCATTATGTTTCCGCTAGAAAATAATTTGATATTGCCTACTATGCATGATTTTAAACAGTGGTCCACTGCTTGGTAAAGCCTTTTCATCATAGCTGTCTGCTCACCAACATAATGCGAGCAAGCAACCTGTTCGGTGGGAAAGCACTATATACCCCACGCGTGGAATTTCATTCAACCTCACCAAACAATAAAACACATTTGCCTAACAATAAAGTACTTGGCGTTGTCCACCAGATGTCCTAAGAAAACAACAGGACTATTTCATAAGGTGTGGATGAGAAAATGACGACCAACAATATGATCATAGAAATGGTGAAATACGGTGACTTCTACTAGCCGATCATTGATCGCTTACCTGTTGCAAATTATTTGGTCTGGCTTGATTCGTATCAGCTTAATTCTTACCTTTGTTGTGTTCAGACGTGCTCTTTCGAAGTTTTCTACCGTCATTAATTTGTCGAAATGCGAAACGTAGTCTGGGTACCATCCTGCTTAGTACACAACACTTTACGTCCGCTCCCACAGTCGCACCGCTCACACACAAATTTAAGGGAAAAACAACAACAATACAGTCCCTCTCAGGACTAAGTGGTCTAACCTGGCCCCAATGTCGTTGTCAATTACGACCCGCGGGCGCGCACACGCCAAGACAATAATTTATTCAATTTGGAAACTTTCTTGTAGCTCTGTATCATAGTGGCCCCGGTAGCACTAATAAGGGTTACCTAAGTATGTGTGCGCGGCCCAGCGTAAGATCGACGATATTCGCACGAATAGGGTAGTCTGCGCGCCCCCGCTCTCAGGTGAAGAAACTCGCAGCCTGCGACTTTCGTCCCCTAGGACGACGAAACTCGCTGTGCGATTCTCTGCAAATCGCATACGATTACATAGCTCGCTGCGGAGTTCCTCTCAGTACGGCTTCCTGTTGAACCGGGAGACTGACCCGCCCATGCGGGGGGAGTACGTGCGAGTCGCGCACGTCTTCAAGGGGTTCTACCGTGACAGGGGCGTCAACCTCCCTACAAGTCATGACTGAACCGTCCCTAGAATCCTCATATAGGCTCAATGAGACATTTGCATCAGGCATGTGCCTGTGCACTATGAGAACTTTCATATACGATTCATTTTCATATACGTTTAGACATTGCAAAAAGCACCAACAGTAATAAATGTAACATGTCTGAAACTGTTTCATAGTATGCTCCTTATGCCAATTCAAATGTGATGTGATGTGACACTGTCAACACATCAGCCTGGCACTGTACTGTTGTGCTTTCTTGCATGTGTTGCACCTTCTAAGAAATTCATGTGTTACACCTTCTGGAATTTCATATAAAACCAATCCACGTAACACTGAGACATCAAAAACTTCAAGATTTGTATTTTCACTGGTACATAAATTTTGTACACATTCGCTTACGAAGCATTATAAGTTTTGCATTGCTGACAGTACTAAAATGCAACAGTGCTGTGATATAATTCTAACAGCATCTAGAGTAGAGCCAACACTTGTAACCACCAAATATAGCTACTAAGTACTGGTGATTCAGAAGTATGCTTAACAACCAGCCGCATCATTCCTACTCAAGCAAAAATAAACTTAAAGTAGTCTAAAAGTAGAAAACTATATCTCTAATCAAAAACTAACAACTGATCCAAATTTAAACCACATAGATTCATTATACTAACAAAAATTATGTATGCATTAATTAAGTGACAGTAGCTTCATGTGATACATGTAAGAAAAGTATATAGTACTTACTTACGTACTTACTATAGTAAGAAAATAGTCTTTATCAGTGAAATGATCAACTTGTGATGATCATGACAGTTTTGGGGGGCAGTATTTGATCATATACAGACCATTATCACATGCTTTCCACAGCTTACAAATACTGATGCTAGGCATATATAGCTATATTATTGCATATAATATCAGAGTAAGTTACTTGTACATATTATAATTCCACAGTTGATCTGGTATGCTTTTGTACATACCTCAACAATGCAAAAACTGCCACATTTATCATGGCTGTAAGCTAAAATAATAACAATTGCGGAAGAAATATAGCACATTTTGCTGCTATCATGCAATTTCACTTATAAGTAAATTAAGTAAATTTAAGTAAATTTTACTATCAAAATGCAAAAAGCAACAGAAAATGAAGTACACAGAGCTCCAGGTCACCAAACTTTTAGTGGTACCAGGAACCATTTTTGGCAATGCCACAGGGGCGAGTCCTTGCCATGCTGGAGGGAAAATCTTAAATGAAAAGGAGGTTAGGTACACAAACAAGGTACACATCCTGAATAACTAAAAACACCACTTTTTTTATGAATCAAAATACAGAATCTTTGCAGTTCCTCATTTGCTTTACAGGTCTTCATTTGGATAGGAGGCAACTGTTAAACCAAGGGGAGGGGGCCTCAAGTCCATTACAGATTCACCATCAATCCACAGATAGACATTTAGTGAGTTTATCTGACACAAGCATAGGGGCATCATCATGTCATCATCCCACATTGTTTTTTAATACACAAAAACATCCATTTACGTAAACTTTGTCAATTAAGGACTTCTTCAGTAAGCCTGACTAGAGGATGCCTGTCTTGTCATGATGATTTCTTTCTGCCCCTTACTACGCTGCATTAAGAATGGTTGTAGTTCTCATAGTCAAGAGAGGGGGCGCTTGAGATCATCCACCTGGTGCGGTGGAGCTGGGCCTGCGAGAGAAGGGAAGGACCAATCATGTCAGTTGGGTTTTGGGCTGTCAATCAAAACAGAAGTGACCAATCAGGGAGCAGGGAAAAGCAGCCACTTACCAAGCAGAAGGGTAGAGTTGAGGGGAAGAGACAGAGTGGGAAATAGCATTGGAACACTGTGATGATGATCCTACATAGGGATTTTATGTGCTGGGTGGGGTAGGAAAGTCGGATGGCAAGAATGTAAACAAAAAGCAATATATGTAGAGAGAACACTGACACACAGTGATCATGTCAGTCATGAATAAAGACACAAAATATCTATACATAACACTGAAACGTACAGCAAACATGATATGTATGTGGATGATACCTATGCTCAGTAATAATGTACACAATGGTAGTAGAAGACTCAGTCACAGACTTTTCTTCATCCCTTGGAGGATAGCTCCATTTGCATTCAACTGCACCATCCATTGCACATATTACAAGTCTAACTCGCACACCTACGGCTCAATTCCTTCTCAGCAGCCTGCACACCACTAAAAACACAAAAACAGGGTAGTTCACTCCTAACAGCCACCACGTCACCTTCTGACACCCCCGGCCAACCCATGTCAAACAACTGGTGACAAACCCCCAAACACCCTTTTTGCCATGATCATGTCCAGCAAGCTCTTTTTGCAACACGTCTGAACCACTTTGCAAACTTATGTCTTGTTGTTCACTCTCCACAGTTTGAATAGTGCTTTGAGTCCCCATGTCCAATATGTCTGTGGATGTGCTTTGGTTCTTGCAGGGTTTGGTGTTTTCCCAGAACAGGTAACCATGGAGACAGCAGCCGTGGCAATGGGTGCCATCAAACATTTCCCACCAACTACCTTGTTTGTGGATATTCTACATGGAGCAAAGGAGGAAATATTGCTTGAGTTAACTTGAGTGTGGTATGGTAATGTAAAGTAAGATGTCATATTAACATGCAGTAAAAGAAGATTTAAAAATGAATGGTATGTTTATATACAGCACATGACAATGAAAATCAAGAATTTTCAATCAGAAAAAAGAGGATTTTTTCTTTGGGGGGT